AAGCTGAAGTTTACTTCTTTTTGAATCTTCTAATATGTAATCAGTCAGACAGATTTCCCACTGCAGGTATGACTAAAATTTTTAGACATTCCTAAATGAGAATATAAGAAATAATTTGGTTTGGGTGTTTTGATTTTGCTATTGTTTGTTCCCACCCTCCTGTAGTAAACTATTCTAGAAAACTGTTTATAGCAGAGCACTGACTTCCCTGAACTTTGAAGCAAGAAAGTGGGGCTTCTTAGGGAAGGGGTAGTCATGCTGATATCAGATACAAATACATTCCTCTTGGGACAGTGCTCCCAAAGAATAGCCTTTTTGATGCCTTAAAAGTGACATTACTTCTTCCCTTGGTTTATTACTTTATGTTACATAACAGGAGATCTTTTACCTGTCAAACCAAAACTGAGACCAGAAACAGATACACAGCACTAGGAAGGAGATGTGGGAGGGTTTAATTGCCCTGGCACTGTAGATGAAGTCAACCCATTTTCACAAACAACTTTGATTCATTTCCCAAGTGTCATCTATTTGCCACAATGGGGAAGACAGAATCCTTTAGAAAAAATATCACAGGCTTGTGTTTTAAGATTCTTAAAGTGGTTTAAAATCTGCTTATTTGTGACTTTCAGTTACAGCTTCAGTATTCTTTTTTCTTTAATCTCATATACTCACATCATGATGAATAATATTGTTTTACTTAAGGTATGTAAAGATGTCCTTTGGAATTCTCTCTGCCTCTTTATTTAGTTTCCAAATGATACCAAGAGAGAAACAGAGAAACTTTAGTCCAACAAGAGTTTTATAAAAATGGCAACATGAAAACAATAATCTAGTTGCATCTTGTTTCCTGACTATTCTCAAACCTCACTGAACGTAATTCATAGAATCCTATAGTGGCTTGGGTTGGAACAGACCTTAACACCATTCATTTCCAACTCCTTACTGTGGGCAGGGCTGCCACCCACCAGATCAGGCTGTCCAGGGCCCCATCCAATCTGGCCTTGATTGCCTTCAAGCATGGGGCACCCACAGCTTCTCTGGGCAGCAGTGCCAGTGCCACATCATTCTCATTATAAAGGATTTATTCCTAATATCTAAATTTACCCTCTTTTTTAGTTTAAAGCTATTATCCCTTGTCTTGTGTCTACACTCTGATAAAAGAATTCCTCCCCAGCTTTCTTGTAGGTCTCCTACTGGGGGCCGCAGAGCCAAACGTAGTACTTCAGGTTGGTGTCTCATAAAAGCATACATAGCCAGCAGACCATGGTCATGCTTCTTTCGATGCATTTTCTTTGGCTTTCTGGGCAGCAAGCACATATTGCTAGGTCATTTTAAGTTTCTCATCAACAAACACCCCTGAATCTTTCTCCTCAGGACTGCTCTCAATCCATTCTTTGTCCAGACTGTATTTGTGCTTGGGGTCACCCTGACCCAGCATAATTAATGATTCATGATCAGCTGGCTACCTCTGAGTGACCTCCTTGGTTGTTCTCCAAATATAAGAAAATACCTGTATTTTGCCAGGGTCAAGATCTCCAACACCAGCTACTGATTCTGTTTTCCTCAGCTTTGGATGATCTAAGCTTTTCCCTGAGCAAATGTTCATTGTGTAATGAAGTTATGGTGCCTAGACAAACGGCACAGAACACTAGAAAAAAAGAATAATTTAAAAAAAAAAAAAAAAAAAAAAAAAGCAATGCCATGCAAAATCACTAGACGCTTCGAGAAATCTTGGCCTCAAGTTCCAAAGCTGTTCTCAAATTACTGTGTTATTCCAGCTCAAGAAAGGGAAGGTTAGAGGCATAAAAAGCAGCGCTTTATTTCCAGGGGAAATCTGTACCCTAACCAACCAGCAAAAGCCTGCATGTAATATGTCCCCCACATGACACTCTTCAGACCAAGCATCCCACTTCTCTGCTCTCAACAAGTCCAGTCCTAAATGGCCTTATGGCTTTGTGGATCTTAATTAGAAGTAAGAGATACATGCTTTTCTGAGAAACACAGAGATGCTAGACATTTAAAAGGCAAATTCACATATTTGTACACGTTTCCCACTATTTCAACTTCTTTCTTAAAAAAATTACTGAAGAAGTTGAAAGGGCCAAAAAGACCTGAACTCCACCAATCTTTCCCAGCCAGCTCTTAACCCAGTGGCAGGTAAGTGTTCTCTGTCACAGAGCTAGAGAAGAGTCCACACCATCCCTATGGTGGCAGTAGATATTCCATCTTTATCCTTTGCTCAAGATTCAATTGGTCACTATCCCAAACTGGGGCCAAACTTCAAAGGACTGGACAAAACATAAAGTGAGGGGAAAGGGATTGAAACATGAGCCAGATTAGGGCTACAAGTCCTGGCTTGGCCAGGAGGGAAACAAGGAATGAGAAGGTTGAAAAAGGACAGGTTCAGCTTATGTGATAAGTAAGGAAAGAAGAGTTAACAGGAGATGAGAGGATATAGTTCTGTTTTTGAGATCTGCACATAGCTGGCTTTGAGGGAGAAAAAGGGAGAATGTTCACGTTGTTGAAAGACCATAATAGCCTGCATATGGAAAGGAATCAAGTACAATACACTGTATGAACAAGCATAAGTGTGTACCACACACAGATTACAATCTCCACCAAACAAATGAAAAAAAGCATTCTGTCTTTGCAACAACGGATTGTCTGTATCAGATCAATTTTACCAGCTGTAATGATTCAAAATGTACCTAAGTCAGTAAAAGCTACAGATGTGCAGCACCTATAAAGGCCTGTAAAAGACAGGTATGCATATGTTGTACACTGAATGCACATGCAGCAGAACACTAAAGGCACTTTTAAGAAGACACAATTCCTCCTGGTTTTTACAACAAAATCAAAAATTACTAAAATAAAGTTAAGAACAAGTGACATGAGTATACATGTATTACAACATACATGTAATGTAACAATACAACAAGTATTACATGAATATATGCTTTTTTATTTTCTTTTGTTCTTCTGGGAGTTTCTGATGTTGAAACTTGGATGGGGTTTTGTGCTTTCTAGTCATTCCTGTTCTGGTCATTCATGCTTAGAGACACAAGAAACTTCAACTTGGTTTTCTGTCAACCTTGCTTCAATAGGAGTCCTCTAGCTTATTTATTACATCAGTCACTTGGACTATAAATCTCTGCAGTGGATGCAGCCATTTAAATCTCCACCTGCACAAACAACAATCAAGCCTAGAAAATAAGGAGGCTCATAAATCTCCACACTGGTGATTAGTAATAATTTGTATCTGAAAGGAGAAAAAAAAAATCTAATTCATTAATCAGGTCTGATATGCTGACAATCTGTTTGGTTTATACACAGAGAAAACACAAACAGGGCACGGTTAGCATAACATGACGTTAGAGGTTAGTGAATTCCCAAGGGCCTGGAGGTTGGAGATATGATATCTTAATGTACTTATCCCATTGTGAGGGGGAAGGTGCTATCTTCCAGCCAAACGGTGAAGAGATGGTTTAAAGTTTAGATTGGCTCTTTTCCTTCTAGATTACCAAGCTAACAAATCAAGATGGATAGAGGGAGAGGAAAGCCTTGCTTGCTAGTTGTCAAAGAGAGCGCCCCGCATCCTACTGAAATTTTAATATGATGAGAGTTTATAGGACTTAGCAGGCGCTAATTTGGCCCTCCACCATTTTTGTTTAGTTAGTTATTTTTTTGTTTAGTGCATGCAGAAATCCTGATATGGTGCTCCCATGGGTGAGTACAAGACCTTCCTCCGGCTTTGGTTACCATGGATTAACTCTGGAGCTGCTGTGTGCCACAGCAACATCTTGGGTTGTGCATTTTTGCCTGGAGCTATGCCAATCCTCAGATGGACAGCTGAATAGTTGGATTTTCCCCTGCCATGAGATCAGTCACGATGGATATGTGTTCAGAGAGAGCCATGTGCAGGAGCTCAGTGCCACAGCTCCTGCATTAAATATCCTGGCTGCTGAGAAGGTTGAGGGGGCTGTGAGGTGTGTGAAGAAGGAAGGTGTTACTGGGGATGGCTCTTCAGGCTCCAGAGATGAGTCCAGCTGAAAATTTTACCAAGTTGATCATGGTGAGGAAGAAGAGCTAGGCCTTGCCTAAATGCTTTAGAAAGTGTTTTCTTCAGACTATGTATGTACTGATCACGAATGCACTGAGCAGCTCTTCATTCAAGCTACACAGAAATATGCTCATTCACACTTTTGGTAAAACTCCTCTTCAACTCCAGCAGCTGCAGAGCAAGTCCTGACGTTCTTGCTTGTGCAGCCCCACAGTCAGGGGCCTTGTCTTGCCTGTTTACTCGGACAAAACTTCCTGATGTTTGAGTATGCACCAAGCAACAGGCAGAATTTTGTCGACATGACACAGACCGTAACTCCAGCTCCTGCTCTGCCACAAAGCTTTGGGTGCTTGATGTGATCGCTACCCTCCAGGAGCTCCCTCCTCCTCTCCTCCAGCACCCACAGCCCCACTGGCCCCAGCAGTGGCGTGGTGCCCGGCCTGTTTCTGTGGGATACAGGGTCCCCAGCACCCAGCACACTGGGGGAGTTTGGGTGAAGCAAGAGGACTGGGATGCCCTGGAGGTCCAGTGGGAAGCCTGGAAAAAATCAGCTCCTTCTGCTTCCAGAGCTCAGGCTGCAATAGTGAGGTCCAAGTGCTCCTTTCCTGGAACACACTAGTAGCTGGACAGGATGCACTCTCCAGTATAATCATCCACAAATCTCCCTCAGATTAGGTTACAGGACAGCATTTAGACGGCACGCATCACAAAGCTCCCTGGAAGGCTTTTGCTGGTGGATCTCTGCTCATGACCCATTTTGGCTTTCGTCAAGAATTGTGACACCAGCCGCATGGGTCATGGAGGAGGCAGGGAGGAGGAGAGCAGCCCTGGCTGGAAAGGGAAGTGGGGAAGGAAAAGAGGAGGAGGAAGGGGGAGGATAGAAAGACAGGGAGGAGAGAAAGAGGGAGAGAGAAAGTTGCTTTGCTCCAGTTACGAAGATTTCAATCCCAGTCCTGAGCTCTCTGCAAGCTCTTGCTGGGATACCTAACTCCCTGTCCTGTGCAAAGGTCTGTGATTGGGGATGTGGTGTGCTCAGCAGGCAGGGCCCCTCCCCTGGGCTGGATCCGCCTCTCCTATCCCCCAGATAAATTACTAGTGTCCTCACTAAATTCCTCAGCTTTCTCTCTCTCCCGCTCACACACACTCACTCACTCCTTCCCTCAAACACAGGCAGAGCAGGGTTGGGGGGCGGGACGGTGGGGGTCCTCTCTGGACCTGTATCACATCTTAGTGCTGGAGGGGGGAGAGAAGGGGAGGAAAGTGCTGTGCCCCTTCTCTCCTCCACTGCCACCACGTAGGTCTGGGGAGCTCCCCTTCCTCCCCTCCGCCCCCTTTCCCGCCAGCCCTTTGGCATCTTCCAGACCATGTCCACTGGGTCCCTCAGTGATGTGGAAGATCTGCAAGAGGTGGAAATGCTGGAGTGCGATGGCCTGAAAATGGATACTAACAAAGAGTTCGGGGCGTCCAACGAGAGCAACGAGGAGGGATCCAATGGCGAGAATGGCTCCCCTCAGAAAGGGAGAGGGGCCTCGGGAAAGAGGAAGAAGGCTCCCCCCAAGAAGAGTCCTTTAAATGGTGTGAGCCAGGAAGGAAAGCAGGTCCAGAGAAATGCTGCCAACGCCAGGGAGAGGGCAAGGATGAGGGTCCTTAGCAAAGCCTTCTCCAGGCTTAAGACCACCCTGCCCTGGGTGCCCCCAGACACCAAGCTTTCCAAACTGGACACCTTGAGGCTGGCCTCCAGCTACATTGCACACCTGAGGCAAATCCTGGCCAACGACAAGTATGAAAATGGCTACATCCACCCAGTCAACCTGGTAAGTCACAGCCCGCAAGGGCCAGGCACTCCTGTGTGTGTGGATGGGGAGAGGGGGGTGAGTAGTTGGGACGGGGCATGTCCACGGAGAAACCTTCACATCCTTCTCACAGAGGGTCTGGTGCCTAGCCACAGGGTACGAGGAGTAGTGGAGCACGGGGACAGGCTCCCAGCTGCCTTCCTTTCCTGCATCTCAGGAGCTGCATGTCCCAGTCCCCTCCACTAGCCCCTGCTGTCCCATCCAGAAGTGGCAGCAGAAAGGCAGGAGCATTGTGCCTGAAATGCCTGAGAGAGACAAGCTTTCTACCTTCAGATGGGAAGGTAGAATTTGGATAGAGAATGGTATGTTTTAGGAAGGGCTCAGGCAGAGAAAAGACCCAGGATTTACGCAGTCTGTCTGCTTTATCATGAAGTTTCCTGCCATAACAAAACTCAAGCCGCAGTCTTTTAAAGATAGAGCTTTGGAGGCTTTGTGCCCAATCGCTCAGAGTTGCTGGGTCCAGGACATGTCTCACCCCCCCATGTGAACTCACACAGAAGACACAAATTAATGTTCAGACCCCTCGGAGGGCTGCGTGGCTGCCCCAGAAAGCACTCCCCAGTAGCCCCCCGGGTCTCCCCAGCAGAAACATCTAGTTTCTAGCTGTATATATATGCAAGGGATGCAAACCAGGAGTGGTCTTCAGCTGCCGGGGTCACCCCATGGGTCTCTCTCATGGGACCCGGCTCTCGTAGGAAACCCCAGCACTCTGAGCAGCCCCCACGCTGCTCACGATCTGATAACAGCACATAGAGTGCCCAGAGCAGCTCGGCTCAAAGTGAATCAAGCAGTGTGCCTTGCTCCCAAGGTGAGTGCGATTCCCGGAGAGAGCCGGTTGCGGCTGGGAGGCGAGGAAAGAAAACAGGATCCTAGCTGAAGCCGTGCCCCGGTCAAGGCGGTGGATGCCGGGGTTGCCGCTGAGGCTCAATGAGCATCGCGATGTGCCTTTTCATGTATGTAACCCCCTTACCACCCGTGTCTTTTCCTGGCTACAGACCTGGCCTTTTATGGTAGCCGGCAAACCCGAGAGTGACCTGAAAGAAGTGGTGAACACAAACCGCTTGTGCGGCCCGACGGCATCCTGAACCCCCGGCCCCGCCAGTACCGGCCCCGTGCGGCCGGGGAGGGGGCACGGGTGCGGGCAGGGCCCCGCTTTGCCCCGCTGCTGCCCCGGGCCCGGGCAGGGAGACGGGAGAGCGCTCTGTCGGCACGGCACCGCGGAGACTGAACGCAGAGACTCCACCCCGGGAGAGCCCGACTCTATTTAACTTTATTGAGTGCGTGTGCAGTCGAGTGTCCTGCAACAACAGCCTTGCTGGTTCAAGAGCTACTAGAGGAAAGGCAGAGATCAAACAAAACCTACAACACGTGTATCTTTTGTCTGAGACCTGTGGAATATGTAGATGCCTAGAAAAAAGACTGACTGACAGTCATCTCTATGAACTCATTTGCCCTAAAGATATATATATTTTCTTCAAGCAGGTTTTTGCTCTATTTCTGTGAATAAACCTTCCTTTCCATTGAACATGGAGCGGTGTACTTTTCGTTTCCAACTCACAAGGCAGTGGGAGCACCGCACCTGGCTTCCTGCAGTGGGGCAGGGGGTCCAGCCCTACGCCAGGGAGAACGAGTGGGGGGAACAGTTGGTACAGCATCTTCACACTGAACCCCACAAGGAGGGGCAGCTGTGAGCTCGGCAGGGAGAAGGAGAGCAGCGAGAGAAAGAAGCTGCCTTGCCTCTCTTTTTTTTTTTTGTCGAATAACCGCAAAGCCGCTGGTTTTAACCTTCCTGAGGAACCGGCGTGGGCCTTCCTGCGGGGCTGCCGTGGGAGTGTCGAGCTGGCTTATTGACAGACAGATCAGTGTGGGGCTGAGGATTTTTGTCCAGATTGGGGTGCCAGGGATTTTAGTGCAAACATCTCCCTTCTGTTGCTTAGGGCGCCTGCAGGAGATTGGGCTGAGATAAACAGGAGTGCAGGGTGCTCTCCCTGCACCGGCAACGGCAGTCGGCAGCTGATGCGCCAGATCCCACCGAGCTGTTTAATGTTTCGGGGTTATGACCGCACTGTTTACAAGATGTCTTCAGTTATTTATACTGTTATTATTAGCAGAGGGGCTTTAAATTTCCGCTTCACTTGCTCTTTCGATATCGTCCCCTGGTTCTGTTGGATACCTGGGTGCTGGTGGGCGGCAAGTGGACATCTGGGGCTCCCTGTCCACGGGGCCTGCATCTCCCCTAGGTCAACTGAGCAAGGCAGAGTCCTCCTGGCAATTCACATCCATCGGCTGGGTTCACATGTGGGCCATGTTGAATTAGGGCTGGGAGCTGGGAACTGTGCATGCATTGTGGACCTTGTTACAGAAAGGGCTGAGGACTGCAGGATAGTCCTAATGGTTTTGAAGGGCGGGCTGTTTAATTTCACTTATTCACAGCTTTATCTCCAGCCTGCACAATTAAAAGCAGACCTTGTCGCCCAGCCTAGAAGCGCACAATTTCACCATCAAGAGCAGGGCTGCGCCAGCTGATACGTAGTTACAGGCAGACGTGCACAGATTTGATGTACTTTAAAGCAAAGGGATCACCTTGAGCAGCCACAGCTCCTGCTTCTGGGAAAAGCAACTCTGCTTTGCTAAGCACAGCTGAAGAGGTTGGTCCGTGCCGCAGACATTGGCAAAGTCAGGGGAACCTCTGTTCTCTTAACGGGAAAAAGAACAGAGCCCTCTGACCTTAAATGCAGAGCAAATGACTAATGCAGCAAACGCACAAACACTCTTTGAACCACTAAAGTTAACCGCTGAATCAAAATTAATAATTGAATTAAAACACTCAAAATCTTGACTTGAATTCCTACTAACTAATGCATGCTCTGGCTCATAGCAAGGTGCTGTTTAAATTCAAGAAAGCAGAAACTGAGAGGGATCTGGGATATGCATAACATTAAGAGTTCCATTCTAAATTTTCTGATACACGCTTTTCTGCCACGCTGCAATGCTTACTAATCGCAGGCAGCATCCTTGCCACCCTTAGCCACACTCACTGCTCATTGGCCACCTAAAATGCAGCATGAAGAAAGAGTGAAGTGCTCCATGCAATATTGCTCCATGAAATGTGAGGAACACAGCTGTAACCATGTACCAAAAGCTGCAATGTAAGTAGAGCAGAAAGAGGAAGCTGTAGACACAGTTATTTCTCTTGTCACTGCTCACTTTACGTAGCACTCTAGGGACTAAAATATTCCTCAAGTACACTCTGTCTTCCTCAGTCCTTGCCAATGAACAACAGTTCAGCAACAAAGAAAAAGGGAAAAAGCAGCAAACAACAGACAAATGCAACCGGCAATATGCAAAAAGGTAAATAGCGGCTTTACTCAGACAGTAAAACTTTTTATGGCTTTATGTTCACTTTGAAGACAAAGAAAAGATTTTCAGAGATGTGGATGTGGGTGGCAGCCCCTGATCACTGCCTGTTTTAGAATGTGAGCGAGGGCACAGCCCAGTGCATGGCATTAACAGCCCCCAGTCATTAGGTGAGTTGAGCATCCTCCCTGCATTAAGTGCAATTTTACAGAAAAATTATTTGCAAATGAAAAAAAAAAAAAAAGTAAATTTAGTTTGATTGAAGCACTTGATGGTTTTGAAGGGAACTCACAAATGTGTTAAGGAAAGAGAAGGAATGGATATAAATATTAATGTCAATGACTTTAAAGAAATTATTTTGTTTGCTTTCTTTTCTGTACAAAGTGATGTATTTTAATATTTACTGAAATATAATTATTTATACCCTTTTTCCACGTGGAAACAAAGCCGACTCGATTTATCTTTCTCTATCTACATGGATGTACACGCAGCTGCGAGAGTGTCTGTATACATTCCCTCCTAATAATGTTTGAACTCATTGCCTGATTTCAACTGAATTTGACAGAGGTCTCAAAGATAACCAAATTGCTATAATTTTTTGTAAAAACAGTCAGCTAATAGAGAAGAGAAAAAAAAGTCTTTAAATTCTGCAAGTAAAAGAAAGCTTTTGACATGAACCCCTGTCAGATACCAGAGCATCCGCAGCAGAGCGGCAGCTGTAGGTGAAGAGCCAGGCGCCGCTGCCATCACCCACTGCAAGTCTTCGGACAATCGGACAACACTCCTTGCGCACCCGTGTTTTTAAGATAAGAGCCATCTAAAAACAGTTTAGTCCCATTTAATTTTTATTATTATTATTCTTTTATTTATTTATTTCCTCTTTTTTTTTTTTAATCCCCGAAAGAAAACCAGTTCCACTTCTTCATACCCATTTTTCAGTTCAGCGAGGAAGTAGAAAACCCTTTATTCGCACAGCTGCCTGCAGTGCTTGAGCTGCTGGGCTGGGTGCTCATACTGCGCTGCCTGGCATGAGTTTTCACACTCCGCAAAGTCTTTAAGAACAAGTATTTTTCTATCTCTTGCAGAAAATAAATGTTAGGCTTACCTGATTCTCTTTGTGATGGAAATCTGCCAGTAGGAGACTCCAGCATGGCAGGAAACCCCTCTGCAGCCCCAGCACAATGCCTTGCTGTCCTGGGCACTGATACAGTTGTCAGGTCATGGTTAAAGCTGTGCCCCAAGGTGCACAAACAGCATACACCATTGAGCTAATTCCTTTAAGTGTTGCTGAGAAAGCAGGTCAAAAATCTCAGTGCACCTTGGAAATCAAAGATACAGAAAATCAGTGTGGTTTATTCCATAGGAAAGCTGGTTTTAATCCTGGGTGTAATGTTGTATTGGTAATTTTATGTCTGTATCTGTCTGGAAATATATGCTTCCCTGTAAATGACTTTTTTTTTTTTTTTTTTTTTCAAAAGATAACCTTTTCTGAAATCCCATTGTCATTGTTTTTCATTGCTATTTGTAGTAAAACACAGGCAGAAGACATTAATTAATAGCAAGTAATAAGCAGGCTAATGGATCTAAACTCAAATGCATCTGGTGTGTAAGAAGAGAGTACGAGTTGATAAAAACACAGGGTATTTCTGATTTCTGTCTGGGGATCTGAGTGTAGTTCATCACTCACAGCCTCCCAATAGGGGCAGATTTTCAGAAGAGATTTCAGAGAAATTGAAATCAGCAAACAGCAGAGTACTCTGTAATTTCCACGTATATACACTCACAGAAAAGTCCACATACAGAATCTCTCCCGACAACCAGTGATCCAAATCATCCTTGTTCACTGCAGGTGAACACTGCAGCCCTGTCAAGGCTGTGCTACCTGATCAAACCCATGGGGTATGAGCAACTGAGCACTCACGATTTGGCCACGGGATGCTCTGTGCTCTGAGGCTCAGGGTGCTCTATGGGTGGGATTGTGGGATGGGAAGTGGCACAACCAGCAACACCTACTTTTTTTGTTCCCTGTGCTACAAAACAGCTGCTGTGCTATGGCTTGGTGACTTCCTGTAACACTGAGAAGATGTCACAGTTCTGATCTAAAATGTATGCCCCAGAAAGGATGGGATATACCCATTTGTTACCCTGGTGAGGTTTGCTGTCGGCAGACTCCACAACCAGCCAAGCTCTGCAAGGACCTGATTTTTCTTCAGGTCACTTTGGACACTGGTGTGTCTGAGCTAGCTGTATAAAAATGACTTTGAGGCCTAGACATGCAGTAAGCGCATTTTCCAACTGTGGTGTGGACATACCCTAGGGTCACGACAGTCCTGAAATGACGCATTTTCTTGCCTCAGGGTTTTGCCCTTAAACTGAAACTTGTAAACAGACGAAATGGATTTCCAAGCCCATGCGCATGTGTGAACCAAGCTGAACAGTCCTCATGCGGGGAGTGGAAAGATCCAAACCTTCCCGCAAGGAAAACAAAGATCATTAAAAAAAAGCAGGAGAATAAAAAAAAACAATGCAAACCCTTCCTTTCTGTACAGTCTAAGAGGCCATTTTCTTTAAGCAAAGAGAAAAAAAACAACACTTATTTACATCCTCAGCTGCTATGTAAACTCTAAGACCATATCCAACTGTAAATATGGATTATCTACACACTCAAGTTTTCTCTCGGTTGTTTACATGCATACTTGAAAAAAACAGAAAAAAGGATAAGAAACACGAGGGCGAAAAAGGGAAGAGCACAGATTCGCTGCAGAAGTAACCTCTGTGCACAGCCAAGAGACAGGAGAAAGGGGAGAAAAAAGCACAGACAGCCCCTCTCCCTCTGGCTGCTGCCGCTTGGTCCTTAGAAGGGATGGGAAAGGCAGAAACTATGAGCAGCTTCACCACAGCCAGGTGGGGCCAGACCACCGGGAAGATGGAAGCGGAGAATCTGAGAACCACAGCTGCCTTCCCTGGAAGGAACATCTGCAGAGCCTGCATCGGGAGGAGGAGCGGGCACAGCAGTGAGTTCCCAGGGCTGCACTCACAGAAAGCTGTCCCACTGGGCGGCTTCCTGGCAGCACATCCCTCCCCCAGCAGGGATGAAGCAAAGATCATCATATGTTCACGCAGTCCAAGTGACAGCATGGCTTCTTGCTTCAGCATCCTGTTTCTTGT